ACCAGTCTAAAAGATTTTAAAGTCAAACCAAACCAATTTGGCCACGTATCCCTGGTTAAACGGGTGTGTTAAAATGAACCCAGAAAGAGAAAGCCCCAATAAAAAAAAAAAGGAGAGCTAAGGATTGAGAGAGAAGAGCACTCAGTTTAGAGGAACTAACATGAGCCGAGAGCAGAAATCATACATATCATATACAAGTGGATAAAGCTATGCTATAGGTTTTGAAACCATTTTGACATGTATAATAATGACATGGTTGTTTTACATTTACGTGCACATTCATATGTAAAATAAGAAAATATCAGTCCTGTGTCATTTTGCAGTGAACCCTCTGTTGGGGAACCACCTGTCTACTGCAGGTAGGATATTCAGAGGCCAGTGGCAAATTCAAATCAGCTCATAACAATGCACAAACACATCTGCCAAAACGAGCAACACCGCAGTTTAAAATGGATGACAGCGCTCAAAGGATCTTTTGGCTTGGGTGATATTCTCTAGATTACTTTGTGAGGGATTTCGCGCCTATAACCACAAATCAGATTGCACTGTGCAGACTTTTCTTTTCCCTCTTGTCCCTGGAGTACACAAAACAGAGCTTGTCCCCGAGGGTGCTTGAAGCACAGTTGTGACAATGTTGTCAAGGATATATCGAGCATCCATGCTTAAAGCAACATGCCAACCTGAGGAGAAGACGGCATGTTCGCATACTCACGCCCTGTAACTCTTCAGTACTAATTCACAATGACAAGCTGACAGAATGACTGGGTAACCATGGAGTCTGTAAGGTTAATCATCAGACTAAAAGGACGCCGTTTGCATATTGATTGATTACTGTAACATGTTGTTTTCATTCTGTATGGCAAAGCCAGGCAGAGCAGATGTCTCCCCATAGTCCATCAAACACGCCGGCTGTTTGTGAGTCCTCGAGGACATGCTCGGGGCGGAACAAACACCTCCACTGGGGAGGATGATGAAGGATATCAGGTAGCTCACAATCTGTCATCATCTAACTCTGAAAGCTCAGCAGCAATGGAAGGGCAACAAAAATGGAGCTTTTAGCAGACACTTACTGCCGAATTCCAATTGAACCAGAAACCAAAAGGATATTTGAGGATCAGTAATGTTTGAACTTTATCTCTATCTGCCTCCCTCCCACTCTCTCTCCCTCTCAAATTCATTCAAGGCCTTTTTTCCCTCCGGGCTTTCCTCACATGGCCATTTCACGTGGGAGTGTATCAGAGTTCTTTCTATGACTGCATTAACTTTGGCCTTCAGAAAGAGCTCTCTCTCAAAAAAAAAAAAGACAAAAAGGCTTCGGCTGTAGACCATTTAATCATAAGCTGTAGCCCACTTTTCCACTTGAAGTGCACTTGCCAATGAGATTCAACATGGTGTGATGGAAAACCCCCCTTTGCTGCTGTAATTCAGTGTACTGTTGATTCCTAATCAATCTTGTTTTCTGTAATTAACAGAACACTTTATATTGATAGGCAATAGGTCAAATCTTTCTAAATATGCACCCAGGTGACGTCAGACACAGACCCTCTGCCTCTCTTGTTGATTTGTTCATAACACTAGCTGGGATTAGACATGCAATAACTGGCAGCTTCTGCACTAATCAGAAGGTCTTGTGACCTTTGTGAGGAATAACAAACTTCATGGCATAATAAGCATGAGCCATGGGGCATTTCAACAAGGAGCAGAGGTGGAAAAAAACAATCTGTCAGCACGGCAGAGCAGCCATCACTCCATCACCGCGGATTGCAGGGAGAGGCATGATGCAACACAGCTGTCTACAAAACAGAACTTTTTCACGCTGAGGACCCCAACGCAGATACCCTATTTGTGAAGGATCCCAGGGATTAATGAATGGATGGATGAATTACCACATTTGATAAATGAGAAAGCGGTGAGATTTAACTACCACGCCTCACGTGACGCCTTGAAGGTCCCCCAAGGTCCCTCGATTCAGCAATCACTGCTCCATACGTCCTCGCTCAGACTGCATTTTAAAAGAGGTGATTTAGCTCCCAAACTACCCATATAGGTCACACTGATGCTCTGATTGTACAATCTCTCTCTCAGTGGGGGAGATAAAGGGAAAAAAACTTTTATTCATTCTAGACTTGCAATCGATGTGACTTGTCTGTGAAGTGGATCAATAATGCCCCTCTTTGAAATCATCAATCACGTCAGTGGTGAATTTAAAAAGCGTAATTAGGAACAGCGTTCTTAAACATCCTGTATTGATGTCTTCTTTGGTATGGAGAAAGACACCATTCTGCATCATTAACTTTGTATTATTGCCTGATGGAGCCTGCTGCTGCTACTTCCCCACCTGCTGAACTCTGAGCGCTGTGTGTGATTGGGCTTTCAGACCAAATTCCCCCCTCTTTCACTTGCTGATGGGGGAAGTGAAGCTTGCAGACCTAAATTGGATGGAGTATTGTAATAAGCCCAGTCCGAACTGGAACCCAGGCCATAGAGTTATCCTTCACAATGCCTTATTTCAGAAATGTTTGTGGAGTTGAACATGTGTAATTGTCTCTCTAATCATCTTATTTGATTACTTTTCTGCAGGTTCTAACCTGACATGACATTACATGGCCATGAGCACACATTCTCCAGCATTCCCATAACTTGCCACAGTCTTCTGTGTTGTCCATCTGTCTCTCTCTGGTAATAAAATGGTATCAATACTGCGGAGAGGGCAGGTGGGCGGTTGTAATGGAGTAATTTATTTTAGTTGTCACAGAAATATAAGTCTTTGATTAGGGAGCTATACACATCGGGCTACACAAATAGAACCTTTCATCAAATCACAAAGCATGTGACACTATTGACCGTGGTGTCGTCTCTTTGGGTTTTATCTTTCCCAACAAGATTCATCGTACAATGTGTGAAGAGCACAATCATGCAAAATGCAAGGGTAATACAGCTCAAGGCAAATCTTTTGCCAGTGTAAGAGATGAGTATTACATTTTGAGCCAGTAAAAGGAACGAACAAGCTTATATTTTTAAGACTGAACGAAGATGTTAATGTCTGAAATAATGACAATCATCATCTGAGTGTGTTAGAGATTAATAACATCCTTGTGGCTCCTCAGTAGATATTTTTTCCCAGTCTGGCAACTTAAAGGGTCTGTTCACCCAAATTACAAAAAACACATCTTCCTAAACACCCGTAGTGTTATATAGTGGCCTACATAGTGTTTATTTTTATTGCTGAGGTTTCATAAAACATAGTCATCATCACCCCAATACAATGGAAATTAATGTAAGTTAGTTTGTGGTATCCTCCCTGCTAACAACACTAATATGGCGTAGTAAATCAAGTGATTTTGGCTTCATGTACAGGCAACATTTGGCTTGTTAAAAAGCATAAACAGTGAAAAAAATCAAAGGAAAAACCTTAATAAATTAGCGTCGAACGAATGCTTCCATACCAGGCACAGTGGCTTACTGAATGGTTTGATGAGTATGAGAAGGATGTGAATTACCTGCCATGGAATTCACAGTCACCTGATTTCACTGGTTTTAGAGCCAACTATTAGACAACCATCTTCACTATCATCATCAAAACTCAAATCATTAATCATTTTGGAGAATCTATGTCAAGGAACATTAAAAGCTGCTCTGGAGGATCGTACCTTACTAACACTTTTAATTTGTTTAGTTTCCTTAAATATGTCAACCCATTATTGTTTACTAATTAAAACGCTACATCATAACTTTATTTCAATCCAAAAATCGACCATGCACTCATCTTCAAAGGTCGGGATGATTAAGTTTCCTCTTCTGTGAATCGTGAGGGGAACATAGTGATATTATTGATCTGGAGAAGATAAACCTTTCTGACATTTATCATGTGAACTAAGTGCAATGAGAAAACGACTGATAAAAACAAGAACTAATTGTTGAGTATATTCCAGGTTTTGGGTTATTCAACTTTATAGTACAGCCTCTTTCAGTTGTAGAAGTATTCAGGTCCTAACACTTCCACACATACTGTCTACTTATTTGAAAAGTAGGGCTTAGCAATAAAACAATAATGATAATTATCACGATATATAATTTTCCTCAATGACAAGATATCAAATGTTCAATAAATGTTTGATTTAAGTCATTTAAATCACATGAAAATTAGCATTTTATTTTTCTACTAAGATATTTATTTTGTTGAGGAAAAGGGGCTGAGGGGCAGATTTGGCTTAATTTTACTACTTATTTTATCATTAAAATTGTTTTGAATGTTTTATCAAGTTAATGTTTTGTTTCAGATTTGTTAAGTGATCCACTACTTGGCAAGTGTTTGTCATGTTCTGACTTTCACTCAGGAGCAAAAATCAGCCTTTAAACTTGAAAGAAATAATGATTTGACATACAGTAAATGGTGATTATTATCGATATCGAATGATATGAGATTTGTTATTGTGATCAAATGTTTGGCCATATCACCCACTCCTACAAATAAAACACCTGCATTCAGTTTTGCTAAAATAAAAGTATGGACGTATTGCTGGCCAAATGTAGTGAAAGTATCATTACTGTTATTTTACATATACTGAACAACTATCTACCTTTGCCTACAGATCATATTAACCCACCCTGGTGACAGACAACAGAGGACAGCTAAACAAGAGTTTCACATGTATTCTGATATGATACAAATGACACAGACTCAAATCGGCAACTAGTGTGTGTTATTTCACTAATTTCACCTTCCACATGGCAAACGTCAAAAGGTATTTAAAAATCCCATTGAATTTCACACTGGCTGTACCTTTAAACCTCTCGCCTGTCCTGCGCAGCGCACAGCGCCGTCTGGAACGGTCCCAGTTAGTGCGCATGCGCCGGAAGTTGCTGCCGCAGACAGCAGCAGTAGCAGTGATTCGGCAGCGCAGGGCAACGGGAGAAAATCTGTCCGTTTTAAACCATGGCGACGTACTAAACGATGCCTTTCGCAGAGGTAAACGGAGAGTAAGTACTTGTATCTTAATGACACGCTTGCTGTCTGATACTGTGTGACATCCTCTCAAATTGTGGCATAAATATTAGCAAAGCTGGAGAAGGCAACAATGGGACTGTGTATGTGTTCCAGACTGGCTGGCTAGGTTAGCTAGCCAGGAGCCTGGGCAGTCAGCTGGCACACTGACTGGCAACACACAGGTTTATAGCTACTGTACTGGTCCCCTGTGTTGTCTGTAGATCTACTAAATCCTCACGGCTTAACTGCCTTTTATGAGCCAAAAATATTTTTATTTACTTACTAAAGGAGCCATACATTCTGGTGTTAACTGAATGAAACTGGGCTTGTGCTAGTTGTAGTTGTGTTTTTTTTAATTTTTTTTATTGCAATTTGACAACAACCAGTGAGGATTAAGTAGTGCTCCATTTGCCTGCCAAATCATCATCATGATTATCTCTTTTTCATTATGATTTTCATTAACATGATGCAGACAGTTTTGTGCCACCTCCCCAGTGAAATTATAAGTTCCTTTCCTGAGAAGAAGCCAGTTGTGAATGAAGTTGGAAGCGTGGTGATCTTGTGCTATTCCCGGCTTTCAAAGTATGGTATAGCTGTCACTGAGTTGTCTCCCACTGCTAGTATCCGATAAACTCATTAGGACGTGCATGCATACATCCAAATTTAGAGTGTCAGTCGTCTTCACCCCGTGGTACGGATGTGTGCGCTCTTTGCTCTCCAGCGTGTCTGCAAATGGCACCTCTTAATGCACCGACAGGGGAAAGTGTTTCCACCTGCAAAGGCAAGTGTTAAAGGTGATAACAAAAGGTTGACGTCACCGGGCTCATCTTGATCCTGCCGCACAACCTCGACCGCTGAGGAGGTGGAGGAGTAGTTTTCAGAGCAGGCGGGCAGCTTTTTTTGCCATAATTGTTCGTGTCTGGAAGGTCTATCTCTGATCAAATTTCGGGTATCCTAAGGGCACACTTAACTAATGGGATCCTATCGATGTTTCTTCCCCCCCCTCCAAGCCTGATCTTTACACGGCGGAATGTTAATGTTGCCACAGCCTGTCCGCGTCGTCTTTGGCTGCTCTGAGTCTGGCGTTATTGTTGTAGTCGGTCTGTAATGTCATGGAGCTTGACGGATGTGATTAAAAACCCCACCGCGGACAAGCAACACATCTGTGACTTGACTGGACCATGGAAGTGATCGGGTTTACTCTGCACAGGTGAGCTGATAAAACTCTCAAATGTCGAGAGGTAACAGCTGCTTTGTCTACATTTGCATGGCCATTTTGGAGTTTAAAAAAAAAAAAAAAAAAGAATCTGTCGTTATGTAAAAAAGCCATTATCTTTCCTTTACTATGACAAAAGGTGAGACTGTTTCGTTTATGACAGCGGGGAGGGTGTGCTCAGTGATCGCCTGTGCTTACTCAAACAAGAGCCTGACGTTACTCGCCCAAAAGTGCAGTTTTGCAATGTAGCTTTCTTCCCTTACATTTTCCAAAGAGCAGATAATTAAATTTCAGATCTTGTTGTCTGGGAAACTCAGGCCCCTAGACTCTCTGCAATTATCGTGCAGAGGGAACCCTTTTTTGCATTGGGGTGCTATGTTTCCCAGCGCAATGAAGATTAATTAGGTCTTAAAAACAAATGACTGTAAGGCCTCTCACCATCTGTAAAATACAGTCCGCTTCTAATGACAGCAATCTGACAGATACCAAGAAGAATAAGAGTAAAATGCTAAGTTAGGCTGAGATATTGACATGCAGAGGCTAATGACAGTACATATATAGATTTTGCAGTCGTTTACAGCTCAGTTTTTGATGTGAAGGTTTGACTTTGGTGCGGTAGTTGTGAATTTCTGTATGCGCTAATGTGTATTTACTTCAGGTTTCAGCCTGAAAATGAGTTGTGTGTTTGCTCTTACTTAATAACGCCAGCAGATAAGCCTGAATGTCAGGAGCACCTGGTTCATTAGTTCATGTCATGCTGGTCAGCATTGTTGAAAATTACAGCGTTCCGCCAAATTGAAATACCACTTGAATGCATGTGTTAATTAGATCCCTGCATGGCTTTTCAAAGTGTCTCTCCTCCCCTGCCCATGAGTCATGTGTTCCCTTTTTGACCTGTAACTGCAAACCCAGTGTCTTTGCTGAGGGCAAACTGAAAGCAAGTTTGCCTTGTTTTTTCAGCCAGCCACTGACAAATATATTGGAATGTATTGATTTACATTGTGGGCAGAGGAGGGTAATTTCCTCTAAAATACTTGTGTAGGATCTTGGCTGCTATAGACTCTCAGTCTACAGTTGTCTGAAGACGGTGTTAAACATTTGCTGAAAAAATACTGTGTGTGTGTGTATATGTATGTGTATGTATGTATATATATATATATATATATATATATATATATATATATATATATATATATAGAAAACAACTACATATTTAGGCTTAGGTAAGTATAAGAGTAGTATGCACACCCACACCGTTTTCTAGATACTAGCCTCACTGTATCAAACTTTCTTCTTCTGTTAGCAAATGGAAATACAGAAACTGGCGAGTGAGCACCTTGCACTGAATTCCGGATGTTTTGTGTTGCAGTTTCTCCACGTGACCACCAAACAGTCTGATTCCCAACATTAGGCTTGTCTCAGACAGCAGTAATAAGAGGATAACATCAAAGCTCTGCTTTATTTCTTAGAGACTTCAGTGCAAGACTATGAATAACAGATCACAAGGTACAAAGAGTGAACCAGAGAACTTGAGCAGCTTTTATGTTTCAGCAGTTGTTGGGATTCACAGGGAGCTCATTAAAATACATTGATTAGTAACAGTCCTGATTCTGTGATTGTTGCCTGTGAAATGGCTCGGTTAACCAGCATATTTTTGATGCAATGATTTTCTGTGCTGGAATGAGCCACTTGGCTGATGCTCATTTTGGTTTATTCAAAGCCAGTCATTTGATGTAGCATTTTAGAGATGGTACTTGAATTGGAAATGTGTAACCATACGCTCTCCCCAACGCAGTACATTTGTTCCTTTCATATTCCAGCGGGGGCCTGTGTATGTTAAATCTCTGGCAGGTGGTGTTTGTGAATTTTATGTGCATAACAGATTTTTATTTTCCTCACCTCGGTCGTTTTAGATGAGCAGCATTTGTTGAATATCATCCATTTGCTAAATGAGGCTGCCCCCACCACCCCACCCCACCCCACCCCCGGACAGGAGCAGGGCAGAGATTTCCCAGGTACCAGTGACCTGCCGGCCTGCTCCACCTTTCAGTCCTCTAGCAACCAGGGCAGCTGTCAGCCCATACTCACCCACTCAGCCACCCATCATTTGGAGAGACTTTGTGTGAGGCCGGCCAGTGTATTCTCAGCTGCATGAGCCTTTGTGTGAGTGGGCAAAGTCAGAAGACCCAGTGTGAGGGTCAAACACAGGTTAGGCTGTGAGTAAAGAACTGCGGCCACATGATGCATCCAGGTCAGCTGTTACGTGGTATTTAGTTTGGTTCACATGGGTTGTTTCAAGTTGTGCCAAAGGACTACAGGCAGTAGACCTGATTTAAAGACACACTTGTGTCTTTGTTTGCTACTTTGTTTGGCTTTTTTTTTGCATGGATTTGCATGTTAGCTGGCAGGTCCAATTAGGGCAAAAAGCCCTGCTCTTGCTGGATAGTTTGCGTAATCAGCAAACCCGAGGCCTTAAACCAGAGAGTGCTGCAATCTGACGTTACAAACACAGAGACCAAAGGGCTTTCTGAAATTGTTGTGTCTTCATCTTGAGGGCAATCGGGGAATAATCTAAACCTCCCGGTGATGTTCACTGCCAAAACAGCAGTCATAGCAGCAGGAGGAACAAGGCTTGGTTTAGGACAGCATCTGTCTGATCATGCTTGTCGGAGGCACCGGAGACGACAGGGTTGTTTATCCACCTCCATCTCACAGGAACAGCAGAAGAGCAGGGCAGATACTGTTATCTGTTTATGGCACAAGATAAGGCCGTCTCAATCGGATCACTGACCCTCCACTGACACTCCACACCCAATACCAAGCCCTCTGTAATGAGAGGTTGCCAGACGAGTCCCATATCACTCTAAAGTAATCCTAATAGAAGCCATTAGCATGTCGGTGGTTATTGCTGCAGTTTTTCCAACGTCCATGCCAACTGTACATATCAAGGCATCATTAGCCACCACCAGAGAGGCTCAGAGTCTGACCTGGTCTGTGGGGTCAGAAAGAATGCCACAACAAAGTACCAATAAAGCTGTAGGGGATATCAAGTGGAGGGGATAGAGGGAGAGTGAGCTCAAAGTGTCATCGTTGGCACAGACATTAGATAAGGCTAAGCTAGGGGATTATAGAGGGAGGAGATGTAAAATGCTGTCGGCTAATTGGGCTTTATTTTTAATATTTCAGCGGGTTCATTAGAGACTAAATTGGTGAAGGATTTCAGCTCTGACTGTAGAGTCTTTTTGGGACAAGCCTTACAACCTGAATAATAGCAGACACATTTTGTCACATTGTGTTTTTAGAGGAATGCTACTTATGTAGACCAGAATTTCAGTTATGTTACATGGTTGCATTTCATAATTCTGGCCTAACTGTAAGCCGTGTTATCTTACACCTTCTCTTGCAATAAGAATACACTGAAAGGAATTCATGTGTTTGAGGTATTTAAAATCCCAGTTTTTTTTCTTGCCAAGAGAGTGGCTTTGTTATATTGGTAGTAGTAAAAAAAATTTTTTGGTCTTTGCAACCTTCAGCAAGCCGCAATAACATGGAGGATAGACTTTAGGGTATTGTACAGATTTATCTTCTCCAAAAGGACAATGCAGTGGAGGGGGGCTGAGCTGAGAGAGCTGCCGAGGTGAGCGGTCAGTGCACGGCACTTTGCCATGACCCTCCTCAGTTTATTATCGGTTGCACTACTTCTCCAGGCCTCAGTGTGTGGGTGTGTTTTTTCTGTGTGCGTGCAGTGTACTGGAGATCGAGCGGCGCTTATAATGGGGCCCTTTATAACCTCCTAACCCTCTGGTCCTGTTTGCAGCCATTGTTGGCCACGCTGAATGGTATCTCCGTGCCTTGAAAAGTAACCAGATGACATTCTTCCTGTTGTTCAAAAGGGCCCAGGGTTGTGTTGTGAAAAGCGGCTGAAAGGATAGGCTAAGACTGTGACCTTCAGAGGCTAATCTCTGGCATGTCATTCAGTGCCTGTTTGAAGCAAATGCAGACCTTTCTCCCTGATAGCAATGTACCAAGTCAAACAAGGCAGACATTCTTCATAGACTGTTTTCAACAGTTACACTCCAAAAACAGTCAAGTTAGTTTTTTTTTATTGAGCCGCCACTAAAAAGGAACCAGAAGGTGTTTAGTAGCAGCTGAACTGAATCGTTATTCCAGACAGGCGGTGTGTCTGACACCTACATTGTCCAAACAGTCTCTCCTGCCTGTGACTGAGCCGTCTGTACACAGACCTGTGGCATCAGCAGCCCCTCTGTACTGCATGCTGAAATACCGCCGCTGCTGTGAAAGCAGTGGGGATGAAATGCACTTAGTGAGACAGTAAACATCGGTGCAGCTCTCAAACTAGCTTACGTTGTTTATGTCTCCTCCTCTCTGGTGTATTAGCTGTCTTCAGCTGGCTGTGTTTCCTGGAATGTGCAGAGATGCAGTTGTCGCTGTGCGGGGGGGATGTTGGCTGTAATCACAGTTCATAGTTCAACTCTGTATTTGGACTCGACTGAGCAGCGATTGGACAGGAGTCACATTATTCTTCTGAACTGGAAGACCGCATTTGACATTACTGTTTTTGTGCATCAAGATTATCTCACCAGGATTTGTGTTATGAAGGTTGTTGGTCACACAGTAGGAGCATGTCCTTTTGTCCTTTAACATTAACAGGTTTAAATTTGCTTTTTAAACTTTAAACGACAACACTTAAAGAATAACAGCCTTCACATCATAATACATTGATGCTACCCAGTTGTAGAGTTTTATCTAACCCCCCATAACCACATTCTTTTAGTCTACACTGAGAACGAGTCTTTACCATTAATGTCTTCAAGGGGATTTGCTTTTCAGCATGTTAGAATACACTTTACTGGCAGCGAGCTCTCATTGTGCCTGTCTAATTGATCTCGTAAGAGCAGGTCTTTGGGTAGAACAACGTTTTATCCTTGCGTCCTGTGAATAGTGCTCCTGCTTCCTGTGTTAGCGCTGTGCCA